GTCTTCCGCCCACCCTCTGTCTGTCTCTTCTTACCTGTGGGAATAGCGGCTGGAGGAAATCATGGTATTCGCTCCAGGTACACCTGCAGTTTGCATTCTCACCAGGTGTCCAGGCGGGTAGCGGGGAATAGAGGGAGAGGATAGGGAGAATGGCCTTTGCATTGTGGTTAAGTGCGTTTCTGAGTTACTGTTAGTGAGTTTGGGGCTAGAGAGTTCTTCTGTTCAATCTCTTTGCTCATCTCCGCAACCCTACCTCATATATCCTCAAAACAATCTCCTGTCATCCTGTCGCTGCTGCTCTTCTCATCGGGCTCGTCCATATCCCATCCAAGCTCAGACACCTTGAGAACTGGGACATTTGCCAGCAGTTCAGGCGCTGATAAGGACGGGATGGTAGAGAGGTGGGGTAGTTTTGTGGACTTCGGGTTAAGTTAGTGGGAATTTCCGTTTACTCCCACTTACCTCTCTGTAGAAGTGCAAATTGACCTGGTTCCCCCGGACCAGCGAGGAGAGAAAGGAATGGGCAAAGCCTAGAGGAGTAGGTCGAAGGGCAGAGGAGTAATACTTAATAAAGAAGGAGATCTGAAACTCCGCCTGGAGGCTGTAGCTCCGAGGCTGCTACTGCAGCGCCGCTGGCGGCTGCAGTGTCTATTTGGAGCTGGTGGTGAAGGACTTTGGTCCTTTTGCTGTTAACATGAATACAAGTTGACAAAGACTCAGATGTGTCTGTGATGGACAGGCTACTACTGTGTGTGTATATGCATTTGAGTGAATCTCCCCGCCTCTACCTCTCAGCAAGGAACCAGGTATGTGTTTCAGTTAAGTTGCTGGGGAGTTAGGGAGCACTGGGAAAACATGGTCATTGTTAAAGCAAGAAGTTGTCTCTAGGGTTGTTTTCTTCTTCAATTCTAGGCTCTGTTTTCATTAAATACTGCTGCGGAAAGAGAGTAAGGAAAAGAGTAGATAAACCTACAACTCTTTAACTTGAAAGGTTATTTTCATTCTCATTGACAATGGACCTTAAGTAGATGGGGAAGAAAGATAGAATGCATTTTTGAAAGGACAGAATTGAAATTGGGCTTCAAAAAATTGCAAAAAAGGAAGTCTCAAGTCTCCTCTTTCCCCCATTAGTATCCTAGCTGGGGACACAAGAATGACTTACTATCAGCTCTGACACTCACCACAGGTGTGACTCAGAGCAGTGTCTTAGAGAAAACCCCAGGAGGCTTTCTGGTGCCCATCCCAAATAACTCAAAGAGAGTATTTGTTAGGTACAGTGAAGGGCATTCATCAACACAGGGTATGTGAAATTGGAAAACACCAACTCTTTGTTGCATTTATAAACCACTTAACACTTAATACTGCACTTTCATGCAATTATCTTATTTGATCTTCAAGTTACTCCATGAGATAAGCAATATCATTCCTGTTTTCCCACCCCCAGGGAAACTGATTCCAGATAGTCTTGCCAGACTCAGTGGGAGTTTTCTGACCTCAGAGTCTATCATTCTGTCTTTTTTTCTTCAGACCCCAAAATTCCTTACCATTTGGGGGTGGGGTGAGGATGGAGAGGGGGAATGTTTTGTGGTCCAAGGTCAGATGTAGCCAAAGGGGATTGTCTTTCCACTTCTGAGTTGGAGGATGGGCTGGTGTTGCCCAGAGTGAGGGATGTGGGTAATATTGATAAAACATTTCTTAAAAGCATAGTTATATAAAGAGGAATGAGGAATTTTTGGAGTAGATTGATTTGACTTAAGCAGTTTACTATTTTGATGATGTTAGACTTTTCCATTTTTCTTTCAATTAAACTTTGCATGAGCTTTTTCCCTGTGGGGAAAGTAGAAGTTTTTCATAAATGTAGAAATGACATTACTTGATTAGGATAGGATACATAGCAAAATCACTGCGGCAACACTTTGTGGATCATTTCAACTTTGAGGTTCTCCTAAAAATCATAAACATTTTGGGTCACTAGGAACAGGGAACTAAAAGTATTTGGCAACCTGCCTTCTCATCCACTGATCTTTTATCTTCTAATCCACACAGTGTCATTTTGAAAGAAAATTATAAGAATGAATTGCTTTTGTAGTCTACCAGATTTTCATTATGACAGCCTCATTTCTAGGACTGATGCTCTTCAAAAATCTCTATAATTTAGGGAGTGAGGTGTTTTGTGCTGGTTTAGAAGAGTAGTTACCCACCTTTTTTTCTAAGTGAACCTAACTGAGGAAAGGAGGGAACAGAGGAAATTGCTATAATTATTCCAAAATTTATAAAAAGTGCTAGATAATCCCGGTGAATATAACAATGAATATATAATTGGATCAATGGATACTCTTATGCACTTAATAATCTTTGAGCTTTTTGGATTTTTACAAAAAGGGAAGTGAAAAACTCTGAAATTTAGTTCTAGGTTTGCCTTTATGGATTGGCCTGCTTTTGAGTGATTCTACTGCCTGTTTTGCTTACTTTAAAGACAGAGTTGAACAATGATAGAGATTCATAAAGTAAGTTTGAGTCTCAAAGTAAAATGGAATAAGGAAGAATGGGATGTGACCTAGTATTATCCAATATTATGTTTCACTCTTATCTTGTGGTATAAAATATCCTTTTTTACTTTACAGATTGTAAGTAGCAGGGCTTAAGTTAGGCAGGGTCTTTTGGATTTTTTTTTTTAGTTTACATTGGGCAGACAATTTAGCTATGACTTATTCTCATTACAAATTTTATAATTTATAATGATTTGAGTTTTGTGCATGCTCCTTTTAAGCTCCTTAATGGTAAGGGACATATCTTCTAATTGTCTAAGGATTCAGTTACTTGAAGCCTGTCACTCTTTTTTTTTCTTCTATTTTTTCTTCCCTGTATGGAATTATACAAAATTAATAACAATCAAATGAGGAATAAAGTATAAATATATCAATTTCTATGTAAGTATTGTATCTCTAAATACAGGTTAAACTAAGCTGGGACATATGTCTGAGACTAATAGCCGAAATAAGGTCCCATGCTCTCTTTTCCTAAATCTCCTACATATTCTCCCTCCATATTCTCCCTCCTTCCTTCTCCCCAAATGAAAGAAAATTGGAGTTATACCACCTAAAACAAATTGAGAAGATGTAAAAGCATAATACCAGGGTCAAAACAGAGTCATACAACCAATATGGAAAAAATATTTTGGCTCCTGTGCATAATACTAAATTGATCCAGGTTACCTAGTCTGCTGTTATAGCAAAAGTTTCCATTTAGGAAGGAAAAAGTCCTTGGAGGAGATACCTTGATTTTGAGTATAGCGCTGTTCTTGTATGGGGGAATATGAAAGCATTCTTACCAAATTATGGAAAAGAAGAAAGACCACTGGACATGGGTGTTGAAAGTAAAAAAAGAACATGAGACTGTCAATATATTTCTTGATTTAATTTCAAGAAGAGAAAGAGGCTCATAAATTCCAATGTCCTTTCAATGCAAGGCTTTCACCCAAAGAATTCCAGATTCTGAGCACTCAGAATGGGAACTCCTCCCTTGAGGCAGAGCTGATAATGGGTGTAAGGTGAGAACAGAAGTTGTCTATGTCCTGGTTCATTTCCTTATTCCCCTGATGACTATTCTATACTTCAGGGATTAATACGCCTCTTTGTAAATTGAATTAATAACTCCTTGATTTGTTTGGATTGTCTTTAAATAGTATGTATTGTCAGCAAAAAGATTTTTCTTTTGTACATGAGTTAGGAAAGGCATGATAGCAAAGATTTTACGGGGGGTTATTAAATGTTATAAAGGTTTATATAAACCTTTTACAAACTCCTGAGAGAGCTATAATAAATCACTTACATAACAGTCTTAAATCTTTTATAACTTGCAACATTATACACTTTCTTCTGTAGTTTTTTAAATGTTAATTTATTTACTATTTAAAAGTTACATACAATTAAATTAATTTTTTGGTGTTCAATTCTGTATTAATGAGTATGGATTTGTGTAGTGATCATAGAAAAGTTCCATTGTACCAAAAGATATTCTGCCACCATGTGTGGGCACACTTTCCTTAGTCCCTAAACATTTTCCCACTCTTATATTTTTCCTTTTCCAGAAGGTCATATGAATTAAGTCATACAATTTGTAATTTTTTGAAAGTTGCTTTTTTTCATTCAGAATAAAGTTTCTTCCATGTTATTATCAATAATTCATTCTTTTGTATTAATAATTCATTCTTTTTTATTGTTGTATAGAATTCTATTTCATGGATGTGTTACAGGGCATGGTGACACCCTGGGACCCCCCCAACCTCCACTCTCTAGATGAGTTCTGACATCTGATGCATAAAGACAAAACATACTTTAGTGTATAAGACCAGTAGAAAAGAACTTTAATACAATTAGTGCACAATAAAGAGGAGAGAAGAGAAAGAATATAGTTAAAAATAGTTTCTTCATGAAGCACTCAAAGTTACTCATCTTGTGGGTAAATGCCTAGCCAAAGAGGGTTAGTCCAAAGCAGGGCCAATGAAGCCTGAAAGCTTGTCACCAATATAAGGCCCCTTCTGATAGAGACCTTTAGGAAAGAGTCAGAAATGGCCAGAAAGGGCCAGGATGTCTGGAAGGAAAAGAGCAAATTCAAAATCAAGATAAAGGCGCCATCCATGTCTCTGTCTCATCCATGTCTCTGTCTCTTTTAGGTGCCTCCTTCCATGTTCCTGAAGTCCCTGGTATAAGTCCAAGTCGGAGAAATAAACTCAGTTTCTTCTTTACATGTCTTTCCTCCATATATCTCCTTGAGGTCTTCTTTCTGCATCTCCCTGCTTCTTCCTCCTTATTTCAGACCTTTGCTAGCTTCACCTCCCTGCACAGCTCCTCCCCTGTCTATGGATATCACACTGTAACAGATGTACCCACATTTGTTTCTCCCTTTCTCCACTGAAAAACATTTAGATTGATAGATTGATTTCAATTTTGTTTATTATGGGTAAGTTGTGATAAACTTTACTATACATGTACATGTATGTTTGTGTTTTAATCTAGGGTAAAGTCCCAAGCTTGTGACTGCTGTGTTTTAAATATTTGTTTCACTGTTCTCCAGA